TATATACATAAAGAAAATTTAAAAAAATCCCTAAGGGACACCAAAACAGCATCCAAATTGTTTCGTTCCTTTAATTGCAAATACATATGTACATTTCTGATGTCGTCGGGTGGAACCTACCTCTGGACGCGTGCATTAATATTTTTGGACTTATATGTTTGATTGCACATCGCCGGAATTTATAGCTCTTGGCTATCTTAAGTATTAATATCAATTGCTGATTTTAAATCCAGCAACCGAAACGATACGGACGAACCACGTCTATGCAGATAATATAGAATAATTAAAACTCAGATTATACTTTAATATACCCCAGCTTCGACCTACCGAATTGGGAAGCTTGCAGCTAGATTTCATTGTAGGTGATTCGATTTGTATTTGTCTACTTAAAAGCGATATTTAAAGGTCAAATCAATTGACATATAGGAAATTTTTGTTTTTATTATAAATTATCTAGTTTTGAAGATGTAATATGAATTTACTAATTTGCTCATACCCTATAATTGGTAAAACATCTAAGTTTCAATTGCATTTTGTAAAGTGGTCACTATTTCGATGTATAATAAATTCTCAAAATGTCCCGCTCTTTTTCATAAATAACACGCAATAATTCATAAAATGTTCATGTATATTTCACAAATTACAATAATGATATACATATGTATACGAAAACAAATACATAGATAGTCTATATGACTATCACCAGATCTGTTTTCATTTATCCTTTATCCAAGTTCCAATGGATTTTTAAAATTTTACTCTAGATTTAATGACTTATTAATAAAATGCTTAAAGAAATATGAATTAGTTTTACGAGTTCAAACGGGAATATTTAGGTTAGACAATTCTTCTTTAACTTCATCGTATAGATCTTTGTATTCATCATTTTGTCGCACAAGCAGAGCCACAGTACCCCTCTTAACGCCCATGGCAGCGCCGAGGTCAGCACGACTAGGAGTATAAGTATAGGGAATACCTTTCTCCTCACAAACCGCCGGCAGATGGCACATAATATCAACAGGCGTCACATCCCCAGCGAAAATGCAAATCCTATGAGTTTTTGTTTATTAGCAATTCTGGCAGATAGAATCTGTGGTGCCTTACCCTGTTTCACCTTTCCTCAAACGCGTTTGGACATCCTTCAATCCGTTTCGCAAATAGGTTTTATGCTTCATGGCTTTCTTAACCAATTTATAACATTTTTTGGCCAGCTTTTTGCTTGCCATTGGTTTCGCTATAGCATTTATAAAAAGCAATTTATCGTCATAGGTCTCTTCTTCCTTAATAGTCGTATTTTCGCCGACCTTAATAGAAACATCCGTTTCTTCAGCGTGTTCCAGTTTTACTTTAACCATTTTACTAAAATATACAAAATCGTAGCAGATTTCAGTTTCTTTTACTTTTTAACACGTGCTTGTAGGTGTGGCCGTATTTTTTTTTTAAATTATTAGCTCTACCTTTGAAAATATGAAAACTTAGTATATACTAAATACTATAGATATATTACAGAAATACATTTTCGGTAATTTCTCAAAGGAATATAAAATTCGAATCGAAAACAACTATAAGTACATTTAAAATAATCATATATACATATATATAAGAGTCTGCTGCAAATGAAATCAACTGTGATAGTGAAAATAATGTCTAATATAAATAATACATACCACTCTAGCTAGAAAAATCTAATATAGATCAATTCCATATTCAATATTCGTCACCCGCAAAAATTGAAAAGCCAATTTATTTTTAAACATACTCTTTTCAAAAAAAAAAAAAAAAAAAAAGAACAACAATTATGTAAACAAGTTTTGTTATTTCAATTTCCTGTTCAATTATTACAGCTTTTTTGGTAATCTCTCGATTCGGACTTAGGTCGAAGCTCAATCAACCCAATGGAAGCCTCCACCTACAAATTTTAACATTTCTTGAAAAGTTTGGCTAAATGAGTTTTTGCTCAGGCCTTGTCCTTATCCTTGTGATATTTGCTCCTCTAAATAAGCCTCGGAACGGATGACTACGGTACGATTGATGAGATAATGTAGTCCTAGTTGCAAAGCAAATAAAAAATATAGATATAATAAACAGATTTCTCTAAGACTATTTAATAAATCATTTATCCGAATAAATTTAATTTTTTTGATTCGTTAAACGACCTTCGACTGTCAATATTATTCTACGCATATCTATATTTGACTGTAAATTTTTAATGAGGCAATTCAACTTTGAATATGTAATTGAGCTCGCTTTACACGGAAAATGTTCCAAAATGTATATAATGAACTCTGAATGTTTCACATGAATACAAATGTAGAAAATGTTTATAAATTTTCTTTCGATACATTTAATTTAGTTGTGAATGAAGAAGTTTAGACAGGCGGCGGTCTCTGCAATATCCTTAATATTCCCTTTTGTGAGGTGGGACATACACCTGTTGGACAGTCTGACGATCGGCCCGATGGCGCGATTGGAGCTGCTGCGTCTGGGACAGGTTTGTTAAGGGTCTGTTCTGAGCGTCCGAGATGGGCAGAATATCAGATTTCAATACTTCTTCATAGTTGCCATAGCCGGTGAAGAACACCACGCAGGTATTTTCCGAGACAGCTGTGATTTCAGCTTCGTAGTACTGAAAACAGAAGACAATTTATTTATGAGTTTTTCATGTTGAGCATTGTAGATGCTGCTATGTACTTACGCGGCCATCGTCCCAATACTTGGCCATGCATAAATCGCCACTCTTCCACTGCCACGGATCTAATGGTGCAACCAGATCAAAGCTTTTAGGCGGCGATGGCATTGCAAGGGCAACAGCTGCTGTTGGCTGTGGTTTGGACAGCGCAAGACAAGCAGTTGGCTCTACTTGAGCTGAAGAGATGTTATTTGGTTGCTGCTTAGCCGACTGACCCTGGGCCGGGGTATGCGCATTTGGGGGAGAAGCAATACTCAATCCTTGACTCTTCAAAAGGCTCATGGCAAAGTCATTTGCCTCCTTGGTTTGAAAGCCCATTATCTTGCTGGGGTCATAAGTGTAACCATTTGGCAATTGAGTGCAATTGGCATTCGATGGCTGTCGTGTATTCTCCTGCTGAAGTTTTTGCTGCCGCGGAGTTGGATTACTCTTCTCAACTGATTTTCGGGCCTGAGGTAAATTGCTTTGCGGCTCAGATGGCTGTCGGGTGGATTGACCTGCACTTTGTCTGCCGCCGCGTCTATGTTCTCGCTTCGAGCTGCTTATCTTCATGTTGGCTGTCTCTGTAACGACCTTATTCACACGATTATTATATTCATCGATATGACTGGTAAAAGGATTGTTGGTCTTGGTAGGCGGAGGAGCAACGCCTGCGGCTCCAGCACATGTACTATTGCCTTGCGGACGACGCCTGTTGTGACTGTTGTTGCTGTTGCTGCTGCTGCCGGCAGTTCCATTCTCAGTGCGAAGGCTGCCATTGCGATTGTTTTGGCGCTCGTTGGCACGACGATTAATCCCTGGCTCCTTTGCAGAGCTCTCTGACTTATTTGTTTCAATGTTGCCTTTGCTGGGCGCGGGATTTGAGTCATGGCCATTACGGTTGGAGGTTTTAGCATGCGGTTGCTCAGTTGCACGTGCAGTGGCATCCGGCTTGCGCGCGCTGCTACCACCCGCAGCTCCACCTCGATCGTAGAAGCTGCTGCCGCTACCAATGCCACGAGACGAACGCTCTTCGCGGCCAGCCCGACTCCGTGTGCCGCCCCTTTGAGGCCGGTCAGAATGGCCGCCACGATTGGCAGCAAAACTGCTCGAAACATTGTTTTCAAAGCGCGTGCGCTCGGCCACACTCTGAGATTTGCTCTCAGCCAAAGACACAGCTACTGCTGCTTTATAATCACTTTCGTATTGCAGGTCCAACACCTTGTCGGCATTGGATCTACATTTCACGCTCTCCCTGTTTATATCGACGCTTGCCTGGTCCGTGCGTAGCTTGGTAGTGAGAAAATCGAAAAGTGTGGCATTTGCTGCAGGTTTTGCCGCTTCGGCTTCATCTTTGAGGCTGGCGCCACGCCTACTCTCCCTGCCATTGCGTCCGCCACGAAATTGCGTTTCGTTTGAACTGTCGGCCGCATCCTTGCGCCTCTTCAAATTGAAGAGAGCTCTCTCCAAATTGTTGCGCGTTGCTTGCAAAGCAGCCTTGGCCTCTTCCTTACTGTATCCTTTCTCCAGAATTTTCTTGATGTTGTGATCCACAATATTTTGACCCCCGCCTCCAAAGACCTTCTTCACAGCCGCTTTGCTTGCCACGGCGATTGCTTCGCTTCGCATATTGTTGAAGTCGTCGTTTTCCTTGCTAGGCTTGTCTTTGTCCTTGTCTGCAGCCGATGCAAGGCTTTTGAAATTGCGATCAGCATCCGCATCGATACTCTTACCAAAAGTCACCCACGGCGGTGGAGCAGACGACCCGGTAAGTGGACGTCCGCTTCGAGCATATTTCAGCATAGTGCGGGCAAAATCCCATTTCTCGTATAGTGCATCCACCCGTCCACCCAAAATTTTAAGCTCGTTGCTTCGCAATAACAGAAAGCCTTGCAGCAGTTGAAGCTTCTCGGCGTGAAAGTAAATCTTTGTGCCAGGCGCCACGTTTAGGTTGAGCGCTGGCACGGGTTCCAATTCTAGGGCCTGCAATACGGTTTGCCCATCGCTAAGTTCCACTTGCAAAAGGCGGGGCGCAGCCTTCGACTCTTCATTGCTTTTCGGAGCCGCTATGTTGCGAACTTTTTGCACCTGCAGGACAATGCGTCCTGGAATCACGACAGAGCTTTCGTCCTTTTTGATAGGTAATGCGCCGCCACCAAAGTCACGCATGTCACGCTATAATAAAATAATAGTTGCGATTAGTACTCTGTATGCAATTACCGTTGCCGGCTTTCGTTCGGTTTTACTCACATTTAGTGCAACTTCAATTATTTTGCTTGGGTCGTAGGCGTCGCTGACGACGCTTTGCAATGACTTTATTCCATTCTCGGTGAAATGCCTGAGGAGATGTTGATGTCATCAAATATGCACAGTTATACTGCTCGAATTACTTACCATCCGCTAGCTTGTAATTTGCTTGACAATTCCATTTTTTCTTAAATATACAATACATATATGTGTACATATATTTTAGCAAGTGCAGCACAAAACTACCTAGCTTCGTCGCACCTAAGCCTAAATTCGCCGCACCCGAAAATTCGCTGTGCTAATCGTTAGACCTAAAGTTATCGATGATGTGGGTATGGTTTCACAAAAATAATTAATGTAGAATGGTAAGACTAGGCATGTATATTTAATTAAAATATTGAATTACAAAAAATTCGATAATATTAATTGGAATTCTGTTCATCATTTCCTTTGAGAAAGTATATAAGATTCTATTTTAAGGTCTTCGGCGCGGAAATTCAGAAAACTATTGATGACTATCGATATTAAGTTGCAGATTTGAGCTAAATAATGCTGAAATATCCTCTTATATGAGTAGACAAAGTCTTATATAGCAACAACCAATTTTGCTGTTCATTGTTATTAAAGCAGCTGTAAGTAACGGTTCGTGGAAATTGTGATCGGAAGTAAAATAATAAGCAACGTGAAAATAAAAAAGTTTAATAAATACTAAGTATACAAAATCAAGTATTTTTGTTTACCAATCAGTTACGATATATATAAATACGTGTATTTTTGGTGCCAATAGTCTAGTTGGAAAGCGCGAAAATTGAAACGGTCTAATCAAACACACGAAATAATAAATATATTAACTAGTGATAAAAAGAGGCACAACATGAATTTATCCTTTGCTGGATGCGGTTTCCTTGGAATATACCATGTCGGTGTTGCTGTCTCCTTCAAAAAATACGCTCCGCATCTACTTCTAGAAAAAATTGGTGGAGCCTCGGCGGGCTCCCTTGCAGCATGCTGCCTGCTATGCGATTTGCCACTAGGTATTTCTTTTTACACTTGTTTATTAAAATATAAATAAATACCACTCCATGTATATATAATAAAACTAAGCGCTAAATTGGTGGGCTCAGATGTCGCATTGTGCAGACGTATTTCGATCTGTAGTTAGTATATAATATATCATGAAATAAAAGACGCGCACATACAGAAACGATTCAGTACCAGCTGTGAACACTCCCATTTGGGGGCTCGTCGCTGCGGAAACGTAAGCATACCAACAACAAGCCAAACGGACCAGCTGCAAATACACACAAATGTGCGTAAGCATGTATGTATGTATGCGTGTRTTTTAACATGTAAACATGTTTGTAAACTGTTACGAGCCCTAAAAATAAATTCTTTTGTGGCGTTCATTCATATGTACATATACGTATACGTATGTATATTTATATATCAACCAATATACATATTTGATTTGGCGAAGGTCGATTTTCCTT